GGACTGACACGGATTGGGGACCTCCTTAATATAGCTTTCTGAGGGTGGTTATATTCCAGCCATTGTTTTTGGCAGGTGTCATTGCTTTTTCATAGCTGTCTGAGGATATCTGTGTGACAGCCCATCATAAGTAGACAGCCCACTCTTTGTGGTCTGGGTAGTTTCTGTCAGTCCCACTCCTTAGTATAGCTATCTGAGGGTGGTTATATTCCAGCCATTGGTATGGCGGGTCGGGCTTACCTGAATACAGCTATCTGAGGCTAGCTGTGTTCCATTGCGGTTGAGGTGAGCCCTCTTATGGAGTGGTCCCTTTTCCTACAGCCTAGCTATGTGCTAGCTCAGTGATCGCTCCCCTGCTTAGGGTTTTAATTAGCGGTCTTTTCATCTATTTTAGGGTTTTAAGTAGCAGTTTTTTGAGCCCTTACCTGGACAGTGCTGTCTCCCCTTTTGGGTCGTAAGTAGACAGCCCACTCTTTGTGGTCTGGGTAGTTCAGTCGAGCCCCCCTTCTGGTAGCCCTTCCTAGGTACATAGCTATCTGAGGATATCTGTGTGCTAGCTCAGTGACTGCTCCCCTTCCTAATGTCTTTAAGTAGTGGTCTCCTTGAGCCCTTGCCTAGATAGCGCTATCTCCCCTGCTAGGGTTGTAAGTAGATAGCCCACTCTTTGTGGTCTGGGCAGCCGCATAGGAGGGTTTACCTGGTTATTTAGTAGCTGTGCGGGACTAGCTGTTAATAGCTCTTTGATTGCTCCCCTTCTTACGGTTTTTAAGTAGCAGTCTCCTTGAGCCCTTACCTAGACAGTGCTGTCTCCCCTGCTACGGTTGCAAGTAGACAGCCCACTCTTTGTGGTCTGGGACGTTTCAGTCGGTCCCCCTTCTGGTAGCCCTTCCTAGGTGCATAGTTATTTGAGGATATCTGTGTGCTAGCTCAGTGTCTGCTCCCCTTTTTTAGGGTCTTTAAGTAGCGGTCTCTTTGAGCCCTTGCCTAGACAGTGCTATCTCCCCTGCTAGGGTAGTAAGTAGATAGCCCACTCTCGTTTCAGTCGGTTCCCCTTTTGGTAGCCCTTCCTAGGTGCATGGTTATTTGAGGATAGCTATGTGCTAGCTCGGTGATCGCTCCCCTGCTTAGGGATTTTAAGTAGCGGTCTCTTTGAGCCCTTGCCTAGACAGTGCTGTCTCCCCTGCTAGGGCCGTAAGTAGATAGCCCACTCTCTGTGGTCTGGGCAGCTCTGTAGGAAGGCTATCTTGGCTACACAATCCTTCGTAAGACCTTAGGGACATAGCTATCTGAGGATATATTTGTTCTAGCTCAGCTGCTACTCTCTTTACCTGGAATTTAAGTAGCATCGTTTGAGCTCCTCTAGAGGCTTTCTAGTTGGCCTCCTCAGCGGTCTTTTGTATCCAGGCTAGTTCTGCTCACATAGCATAGCTATCTGAGTATAGCTGTGCTCTTAACTTGGATGGGATGTTCCCCTTGATCTATTCAGTTTCCCCTGTTTCTGCCAAGTTGCGTGAGCAGCCTGTGGCGTCAGTGGCATGGCCCCTTTCTGAGGAAAGGCTTTGTTTATGTCTGTCGCTTCCTTGGTGCTCTCCCACCAGGTGGACAGGCATGCGCCTCGGCACGGCATGATTGGATTTAATTCCCCAATGTGCCCCCTAGGGGGCACAGCGTTGAGTTCCCTAGAAGGGAAACGTCTCGGGTTACGCATGTAACCATGTTTCCCCAAGAGGGAACGAGGCGCTGCGCCCCCTTGCCATGCCTTTGGCCTGCCTGTCTACGTCTCCTTCAGACAGCTAAAGTAGATGACGTATTCAGCAGGTGCCCTTTTATACTTCCGGGCATCCCGCCTATGACGTCATGGTCCAGGTGGGCCAATAGATTGGTGCTGTTTCACACATGTTTCAGACACCGGTCATGCAGGCTGCATTCCCCAATGTGCCCCCTAGGGGGCGCAGCATCTCGTTCCCTCTCGGGGAACCATGGTTACATGCTTAACCCGAGACGTTTTTTTAATATGTCTATTTAATATATATAATTTATATTTTAATTTTAATATAGTTTACATATTAAAATTTATATTTTATATTTTAAAAGTTTTCATAATTAAGATTTATGTATTAATTTTAGTTTATTTAGTTATTTTAGTACTTCAAGTAAAATTAATGAGAAATGTTGCCTTTTCAGCAACTAGCTGAAATAAAATAAGTTGAGGTCTTTGTTTTTTTATTTTTATTTTACTTAAGCTAATGGTTATTTCATGTATCGATTTTTTTATGATTTTGGTTTTATACTATAATAACCCTGCTGTGAAGTTATTCTTCCTTAGGTAAAAATGACAGAATTTTAAATTTTATGCAGACTGTTCCTTTAAGAGGACACAATTTTTGCTTTATGAGCTGTTGTATATCATTCACCCTTGATCTCATTCTGGGCTTGTGTTGTAATGTAAGCAGAAAACCAGGAATATTTTGAGAAGCACCGCTGGCCTCCGGTCTGGTATCTGAAAGAGGAAGATCACTATCAGCGGGTAAAAAAGGAGAGGGAGAAGGAGGATGTGGTGTTGAATAAACATCACTCGCGATGGCGCTGGTGTTTCTGGAGCACATCCCCTGCTGTTGCTTGAGTCTGTACCCTCTTGTTTTATTTTTAAAGCTCTTATTTTCTTTTTTTTTCTTTTTTGCTAGGAAGAAACAGGCCACTCTACATGAGCATTCGGTTTGAAGCACAATCTCAATGTCCAATCAATGCTGGCCATCGAATAGGGATATTACTTAAGGTGTAATATTTGTTTTAATAATCGAGCTGATGTGTTGGACTTGGTTGTGATCTGACTGTGTTAGAAGCATAAGAATCACTTGAGACACTAAGATGATTAGGGAGTGATTTTTCTTGTCTTTCCTTTTTCACTTAAGTGCTATATAGTGTATATTTGCATTAACACATTTTAAACTGTTAAATGAAATCATCAAAGCGGAAAATGCTCATTATGCCACTAATTCTGAGCACATGCATTGATTTACAAAATTTCCAATATACAATTCTGAGTTCAGGCAAATTTTGGGTAATGTGGTAAGCCTGTTTATTGGACAACTTGTGAGCAAAAATTAAGAGCACTTGAGGTTTGGGCTCGCTGTAGATTGTAATATAATGGATGTAGTTTGATCATTGTGATTGTAAGAGCTTACAGCATTCAGCCCTATGTATGAACATCAGGGACAGGAACGCAGTAGATGGGTCATTCCTCTTACGCAGCATATTTTGAACTTTTTTTTTCCCTAAAAAATGCATCGTTGCATTTCTGTAAAAGGATATGCTAAACTTTCTGAAATATGTTCTCGTAAAACTCAGGCACTTAAAATGTATATTGTTATAACTTGATTGATTTACACAAGAACAAAAATCAGGAAAAAAGTTACAGGATGATATGGAATATGGTGGAAAAAAATATGCGATAGGAGGAAAATGTATATTTCGAAGCTTTGCGTTCACGTGCAAATTTTTTGTGTTCCCCCATGAAATATGGCATTTGCTTGCAAAAGTTTTGCAATCCAGTTTTCAATCAGAAATGCTAGTTAATTTCATGAATAATTACAATAAATCGGCATGTAACTTTAATAGATTTGAATTAAACGTGAAATTAAAATCATGAAAAACATGAAATTTGGAAGTAGGAAGACTGAAATAGTATTTTTTTGTAAAACTCACTCCAATAATCTTTGTTACAGTTACAACTTAAAAAGTATATTTTTTTATAGTGTAAAAGGATGTATTGGCAGTTAATTTTGAACTCTTTTTTTTTTTTTTTTCCGGAAAATGTTGATATACTGATTTCCGTAATTTCTGTAAATTATAAACAGGGTGGACCATTTTTAAAATAAGACAAACCAACTAATACCACAGAAATTAACAATTCATTATTGCTGATACTTTTAGCTACACTTATGTTTGTATTGCTGTGTTTGTTTGTTTGTTTTTTCTCAACAAAATGATATCACTTCCTGCAGGATGATGTCAACTGGCTTTTGTTAAAGGAAATTAAAAAAGAAAATTAACAGAGTGGAATAGTGGAACACATCAAAAATCTAAAAAATTATTAGAAATTAAAACAACATTCGCAATGAACATTTTCATCAGGAAAAAATGAATAAACAACTGGAATTTTTCTTAATAAATTGTTGAGTTTTAATTTTTGAATTTAGTGCATGAAATCATGACAAATCATGATCAAAAAACGTCTCGGTTACGTATGGTAACCCTCGTTCCCTGAAGGCGGGAACGGAGACGTCACGTCGGATGACCGACGAATTGGGATCTCGCTTAGAGAGACCAATCTACTTCAAGTGTAAACTAAACGAGCCAATGCACATTGGCATGCGATTATTGCATCCAGCTGCCGCTGATCACAGCGTGAGTATAAGTAGGCAGCAGATGCAGCGCATATTCAGGTTTTCGCTGAGGAGCCGAGCCGGTGACCCGGCCGCTCAGCGGTGGTAC